TCTGCCCGGAGAGCCAGGAGAGGGGAGTGAGCGCTCGGTTGCTCCTTTGAATATGAGCTGGACGGGGAGGGCGGTACCGGCCGCGGAAGCTCCGACCACGGCTGTGAAGGCCTTCTTCTCCTCCTTTCCGATGACATTAACTTGCCGGGCTCCTTCGACTTCGAACGTCTTGGTGGTGTTGTTGGCCATCACGACCTGAGTCTGGTCGAAGTTGATGACCAGTTCAGGGTGTCGAATGCCGGCGTCACGAAGGAAGAGGGAGAGGCGGAGGAAACACTCATAGATTTGTTGATCGGCGTCATCGGGTGTCTTCTGAGCTGCGCGAGTGGATGCGCGAGGGACCCAGTTGAGTGAGTTGTAGATGAATCGGCGGACAAAGAAATCGGAGCAAATAAAGCGACGGCCGTCGGATGAGCTAGCCTCGAAAAGCTCAGGGGCACGATGTGTGATGCGGGCGATCATGAGACCACGAATGAGGGGAAGGGTGAGGGCAACACCTGCCAAACGCAGCTGCTGCAGCTGCTGTGCGATCTCATCGGCCAGATCGGGGTAAGCATCCTATAGATAAGGTGTTATCAGCCTTTATCAGCCCGATATGACAAGAGAAAATTCAGAATCACTTACCAGGATCCCAAAGCGGGTGACAGAACCTTGTGGCCGGTTTCCAAGAGCCACCCGGTCCAGTACGCTGTCACTCCAACGAGGCGGTTGATTCGGGAGCCGTTCAATCCACCGCCCGAGAACTTGGCGGTTAAGTGTCCTGAACTGTTGAGGGTTCGCGCGATGGAGCAGGGAGGCGATCTGCTTCGGAGACCAGTCACCGCCCACAGCTCGGGCAGCGTTGTCGATTTGCTGGAAGATCAGCGGATTTGTCCAGTTCGTTCGTACCGCGTCTGCTGGCTCGTGGATTCGTTTGCGGCCTCGAGGATCAGTGGAGCGCGAGAACTCCTTGAATGCACGGAATGGTCGTGTATGTTCAGCCGACGTGATTGGGGGCGTGTCTATGGGAGGTGCTGGGGTTGTGAAATCGGAGGGTGGTAGCAAAGGAGTAGAGGTGGAGAGTGATGAGGAGGGTGCGGGGCTGTCGGGGGATGATGTAGATGAGGGAATGGCGGGGGGTGCTAACGCTTCGCCTCTCTATGTAAATATGTTAACAAAATTGCATATGAATATTTTAAAAAAACACGCACCTTTCGTTCCCTGACTCGCCTCCGCTGGGCTTGCTTCCTCAGCCTCTCTTTCTCTCGCTTCATGCCCCTTTTCCTCGATTCTCGTAAGCGGGCTTGACGCTCGGCTTCCTCGCGTGCATCGGCCTCATCTGCGAGTCGATCGGGCTTTGTCCTGACCCGCTCGGCCTCTGCCTGCACTCGAGTTAGGCTTGGAAAGAATGAATTGAGGCTTGACTGGGAAAGGGACTTGTTGGGCGCCCGAGAAGCCAGTGCCCGTCTGATAAGCTCACGAGCGGGGGGGAAATCGTTATCTGAGTCGTCTGAGTCGTCGTCTGAGTCGTCGTCCGAATCGAAGCCGCCCTCTGACTCTGTGTCAGATAAGTCCATTAGGTCGGGCATGTCGGGGTCACAATCGTCCTCGTTGATCTCGTCGTCATTGCCAATCAAAGGTGCTGGAGCAAGGTGTGCGGGCATGAGAGGAGCGGCAGAGGGAGTAGGCATGGGAGGGGTGTGCGGAGCAGATGCCAGATGAGTAGGGGCTGGAGGGGCGCCGTTTCGACTTCCGTCAAATCGAGCGCCAAGTACGGCATCGGGAATGCCTAAATCAAGCTGATCAAATGTTAGTGAAAGCCAAAAAGGTATCGGAAAAAACAGAGACTTACTGAGTGATGTTGAGCGAACAAGATAGCGTACTCCGCTCGCTCAAAGTGCTTGGTGAGTCGAGACCATGGGCGCACATCCCGGAATGTGGCCCGTTCAACCGTGTTGAGGGAGACGATTCCGCATGAGAACCCATCGTCCTGGATTGAACGATCAAGGGCCGCGATCGTGGAATGGAAGGGAAGGCCGAGCTTCTCAGCAAATCG